GCTTTTACCCAACATCAGCAGTTTTGCGACGGTGGTATATCCGGCGGAGTTGAGCAGCTGGATAGTTTCGACAGTCAAACCCAGGATGTCTTTAAGTTCCTCCAAACCGCATACCTCATACGCACTCTGTGGCCTTGACTTGGCATCCTAGAATGCTTCCGGAGGAACTGGAGAGGAAAGGTTAAGGTGGTCATACAGGCGTTTGAGGAGATCAGTGCGGACTCCATCCACTGCGAGACCAGCCTTTCGGCATTCTTCTTTAAGCTCAGACACTTTCAATTTATTCAGAGCCGTTTTGGACGACATGATTATTGGAGGGAAATTAATACAACAGCACAAAATTACAAAAACTTTTAAAAATCGTTAGAAATTAATCGAACGATAAAACGAAGATCTTATCTGTCTCTAACTATCTACGATAGTAGAGAAACAATTCAAAATAAGTGTTAGCTGGAAAATGATTACGGAACGTATTCAAAATTGCTAAAGGTCACAACCAAGGTAACTTAGCCCGTAAGATCAAAAAGCTAACACGATTCGCTGCGGTATCAATGTCCAAAGATTAGTTAAACCTTGGCAGCGAAAAACTAAAACTAAAAGAGCTGTTGAGGATAAAGCTTCCCGGGACAGCTATTTATACGGTCTCCTTCGGGGCGGTGTTACATCCCGCTTCCCCATGAAGCGACCAATGGCTAACACGCTGCCAATAATCGCACAGGTTACGCAGTAACCTTAGGCCATACAACATGAATATTTTGCCGGTTAGAGTCTTCAGTTTGATCTGTGATTGCGCTTTCGGTCCAATCGGCACGTGGTCACGTTGTTCAGTTTATTTTTTTTAAGCCGGTCCAAGATAAAATGTTTACAAAAGATGATAAAGCAATATTAACAAAATAATTTGTATTACAAATCTGTTAAGGCGCCGCTGTACTATAGGCTTGAGTTTAAATTCTGTTTTGTTTGTTTCTGGAAAATTCGGAGCAGATTTTTCTTTGTTAGCAAATTGCACCATATTATGGGGCGGGAAGAGGAGAGTAAAATAAGGTCATCGTATCGAGCATTTTGAACAGTAAATAAGTTTGCGTGTCGCATCCGCTGCACGTAAAAATATCATTAGCAAAACTGCGTGCACAGAACATATTATACAATTTAATTATCGGATACTGATTGCAAGCAGAATTTCATTGGCGTGTTGTGATCGAAAATCCGAAATTAAACTTGACCCAGATAACGGGATTTTATTACGATGTTTTCGTGCCATTAAAAGTTGTTATGAGCGGATTTAGGAGGATATTTTCGTCTGAATAGTTTTGTTATTCAAATGGTTTTGCTAGATCGCTCGACTTGTTATTGCCCATATCGATGTTATTGACGGATGTTAGCATTTATGCAAGGATAAATGGTATACAGCTGCAGAATCCAGAGCAGACGAGATGAAACAAATAAAGCAAGAGTGACACGTGTGACAGCGCTTTTATGCCCAAAAAAGGAAATTACAGAAATTCATCACAAGAATAATTTTCAAGCCGCACATGCCATGCATTCTCAAATTCATTAATCGCACCATAATGTGCTCTGGCCATAAAAATCCATGCGTTGCCCGTTTACAATATGAACGGGAGGGATCCCTTTTAACAACACGTATAAACCACAATATTACGTAGCTACCGATAAGCAAATTTAAAACACATCATCGGGTTAAATTTCACAAAACTTTCACATAGATTTATGTTAAATAATACAGCTAGCATTGTTCTATTGCGCTTGCCGAAAACAGTTATACAGAATCTATTTTTCTGAACCAGCAGGCCGTGCACTGCCAGTGGCCGTACTGCCTAGAGTCTGCACCGGAACATATTCCTGTATGCCTTACGGTGTTCGAGCATATGCTAAGTGATGTGCCGGTTGAGGTGTTTGAACTGTATCGGCAAGATAATTTCGACTTTCGTTATCAAAACGGTATTGTGCCGGACCCATATAAAACTGCCTACCTGTCTCATCAGCGGCCGTAGGGCACCATCGGCTTATGTGGCCAGGCGCGCCGCAACTGTAACAAATGGGCTGACCACTGCTACGCGTATAACTAAAATCCCTCCTGCCATTCTCTCGACCACCTGAGTCTGGATAATCATAACCTGTTTCGTGATAAAAAATTATTTTGCCGATCTGTGTAACAATGGTCATCCTCATCATCATCCGAAAAATACTCTGTCCCCTCACAGGCAGCGGTAATATGGTTGACGGCATCCTGTACTGCTTGTGTAAATTGTGAAAAGACATTGACAATGTCCTGCTCGGGAACTGCGCCGGCCGTGGTAGCTAGCGAACACAAAATGCTTGCGTTGTACTGTTAGCCTTATTAGCCATCTCGATGGACTTCTTATATGCCTCCTTGACGGTAACACTGCGCAAACGCTCGATAAAGACGGCTACAGTCTGGGGTGTATTCGCGACAAAATGGGGTTTAAGTTCAAGGTGTAAGGATTCGAATAGACGATTTGCTTTTTCGAGTTCTGTCGCTTGTGGATTTGTCGCTGCGACATAATCCAACACTTTGCTGACGTACGCACGCGGATCCGAGTTAACGAGGACTCGTGCTTGTTCACCTACCAAATCTAACTCGAACCGAGATTTGCGAAATTCCCTCAAAAAATCTTCTTTAAGTACTGGCCAGGTGAGAATGGCTGGCTGAGTGCCAAACCATTTCACAGCGTATCCGTACAGGCACATGGGGAAATGATCGACTTTATGCTGGGGGTGAAATGATTTGCAGTGGTCAACGTCTCGTACTGATTTAAAAATTCGACTGCATCTTCCATAGCTGCACCACTATATCGCGGCAGATCTTTAACTTGCAACGATTTAACTGTAGCGACATTATTGCTGACCTGCTGTTGGAAAAAGTTTAGGGTGCTATTTGCAATCTGCTGTAACTGCTGCACGGCATTATTGCTATTGGTATTAGCCTGTGCCATTTGATCAATTAGCGCCTGGATCTGATGAGCGGCCATGACATTAACCTGCTGCTTTGGTTTACGGAAATAAAAGTGGTTTACTCAACTACGGACGTTCTTTATTTTAAGAGAAAAAAAGTTTTCAACAGTAGAAGAATATGACTTACCAAAGGGTAGAGGTGGGGACGAGGTGGTAAAGCGAAAAAAAAAACTGGTAGCGGATATCGGCTCGGGTGACCTTTCCGAGGAAGCGAGGTAGTTTCTCGGTATGCGACTCCAAGTGTGGCGAGGGACGGCAGGGGAAAATATAATACTCGGCAAACGACTTTAATACTCGACCAGAACTGAAACACTAACACTCTGTCTTGGAACTCGTGGACATCATCGCTATATATACTCCCAAATAAGGGGCGGAAACAGAGATACTGGAACATACATAGAGGCGTATCATACAACTCAAGGGGAGGGACGATTCCCTTCACACGCGACGCGGAAAACGACGCATCTAGCTCGCGAAAGGGCTGTTTTTGATGTCGTTTATTCATTTGATTGGGTTTGCTTCCGATCCGGTGTTCCTGGGCATTGTGCCAGACGGTGCGGAGCGGTATCCTCATGTTCGGCAATGGATTCTTCTGGTTTTCTACCTGGGCTACCTTTCCACGCCGGTAACTGTTATAGAACTAATAACCTAGTCGTAGTTTAATCGTATCGGTTCGAAATCATACTTTTGCCCTCCGTTTTCTAGATAACTATAACGTTAACAAATCAAGACGCCGAACGTATCGTAACGCGGTTATGCAAGGCTGGGTTTTGCCAAAGAGGATGAATCCGGAGATGAGACCACCACCTGCTTATGAAAATGCAGCACTCCCACGCCTACGTACAGTTGCACTGACAATGCACGCGCTAATTTTAATACCTGGTCCCAAGTGCGACACGAATATTCATTCTGGTTGCTTTCTAACTGTGTTTCACTGGGGGAATCGAAATTAGCCGCACACTATCGCTCGCAAATCTGTGAAGAAGATGATGATTGGATCGAACGCAGCACTTGTCTCCATGAACCAGTGACTAAATTTTTAGAATTCCACTGCCAAATAAGGAGCGCCCACGGTGTCCAGCATGCGATAGCATTAAGAGAACGAATTCAGTACGACAAAGGGTATATAGCGTTCATAAAAATATGTGACATAAAAAAATATCTCATCACTTTTTGCCGAATGCGAATAACCTGCAAACGCGCTTCTTCCAAAGCGTTTTGTTCGCCCGTCCGAAGACAGTGCAGAAATATGTATTAGAAAAGAAACTGTACGAAAAGGGTCACGAAACGGCAATGTATTTACGGTAATTCCCTTTTCGGAACTTGTGCCCCTTTTTTGACGCCAAAGGCTTTCAGAAACGGCGTTTCTCAACGGTAAAGTAGGGTCTAGCTGCTTTCACGGCGGCAAAAGTAAAGTTAAAAAGATAACTTTGCATTTCTTTGCCTTGACCTGCAACTTGAAAGGCGATGGCATACGGGCGGCAAAGGTAAACTTGGTCTACCCGTGTATTGACGGATAATGTGAATTAGGTTGATGATCGTACTTACATACATGTTGATCCAGAAATTGTGTAGCGAGTACTCCATTATGTATTATGCAGAATATGATCCAGATCACTCATGATTGAGTTGTTTATACTGGTATGTTGTTTATACTATATTCGTGTACAGTATATTAGTGTCTTCAAGCAAGTACCAACTTTTAAGGTAATACGAGTAAATTATTATACGAATTATAATAATTTGCTCGGCAGGAAGTATATAGGCAGAACAGAATGAATAGAACAGGCAGAAAGTATGTATTATGGCATATTTTTAAATGATATTTATTGTTTTTTTATATTGCCCACGCTAAACTATTCAGTTAAGAATTTACCTATTACGCTCGGTATGATGAAAAGTGTTGTGGAACTGGTAACTTTCATTTATTTTCATAGTTGTTTTTGGGCGTTTTTGTGGCTGTAAACTCTAAAGTAAACGCTATGATTGTAAAAAGAAAAAAGAGGCCGAACAGGTTAATATTTTACTGTGAAGCTATAAAAACGCATGGAAACATGACTTGATGAAAGTTTACAAAGGTCTGCATAAGCAAGGTTGAAGAAAAATCTCGCTCAAAATAATATAAGGGACAGCTCCCAAAACACAGCATTACCACGTTGAAGCTCAAGGCTTAAGCACTGAAAAAGGAAACTACTGAAGCGGCTTCCTTGCGTTCGGATATGCAATGTTTTGCCGATCATCTTTGAAAATTCAGCAGACGCGTGATCTATGAAATTATCTATGAAATTATCTATGAGCAGCAAGTTAAAGCGATCAATGAAGCGAAGAGGGGAGCACATATCAGCTTGTAGTTTATACTTAGACGTAGCGCTTCGTTCACTTCCGCCAGTGGACCTGGACGCTCCCCATATCTATGCAATGCAAGAGCATTAAAGATGATTGTACTGTACTCGCACACTCCATAGCAGGAACAAGCGCATAATAATTATATCTTGCGAAGCTCAAAGAATATTATACTTTTTTTAAGGGAATCAAAAAAAGCGTTCAAAACTAATATGTTGTATTGGCATAATTCCGTAAAACGCCATAAAAATAATGAGATCATATCGGCATCGTAGCGGTATCAAAAACTGATATTTTATTGCTTACATGATATCTGAGCAGCTCTGGTGATAAGGCTTCCACAGCATAAGCAACAGCTACAAAAGCGAGTTGACTCTTGACTTCTGTATCGTTGACTAAAGTTGGCACCATTTTTTACACTGCGCCAATTCCATGCTATATAGGACCATGCGCAGTGCAAGCGTGCACTGGACTGCTGGAACAGCAGTCATACAATCAACCCAAGCGGTTGATAGCGACTGTTGCCAAAATACGGCCTACTATCAGGGCCGTGTCGAGAACGCCGTTAAATTTCCAAAATGATTTCCTTCTAAAATCTCGGGCGTCATATTTTTGACAAAAATTATGAAAACTCACCAATCATTTAAAATTAGGAAAACAATACAGTCAGTCGTTTTTTTTTTGCGGAATTCGCTTTCAGCCGCCCGGGTTGACTGTAATATTGTTCAAGCAGTTCACTGCACCCGTGCACGGTGCCCGGTGCTGTATAGCATAGATTTGGCGCACTGTAAAAAATAGTGCCAACATGAGTCGACGACACAGTACAGTACTTCTGTTGCAGTTACGCAGTGTTACCCAACTGAGTCTTTTACAACAAGAAAAGTTTACACGCTCGCTCGCTTGCACTAAGGGCGGTTACGACCTTTATACTAGTTATATCTATATACTACAATAAAATTGTAGATACCGGTAGTAGACATCACTCAGCACACTGTATAAAGTATAACCTATGAACTTCGTACATGCTTCATGCTTGCATACTCACGCTCGATAACATTAGCCAGACAAGTGCGACCACACGCATGACATGCTTTCCTCATAAGTGCGGCAACATTGACACTCCGGCTATCTGCAGGGTTGCGCGTAGGTTTCACATCGTACTGCTGTAGTGGTGGGTGTAGTAGGTGCAACTGTTCGAAACAAGCCACTCGTCATAATCTGATTATTGGTTACCATTGATTCACTCTAAAAATTTATCCAGATATTTTTAGGAAATCAAAATCGAAGCTACGCCGTGGACAAACTCATGCCAGTAACCGTGTAATTTTACCGACGAAATCATGTGTCAAGAATGCACGTATTTTTCAATCCAACCTGATTTAATAATTAATTACTCGCATATTATGCATTATAATAATTTACTATCAAATCAGATGCTGCTACTGTATAATATTATATAGCTGCAGTACCATTCGCCTCACTTTAAACACACGTCAATATGTGCAGCGGTTTGGGTTACACCGATCTTTCCTGATTGATGCTGACTCCGTACCTGTCATACCTGTCACCGGCATATTGCGCACACGCAATGGTACATAAGGCTTCGGTATGGACCACAAATATTCGCCCGTGCATGGGTCATCTAAAATTAAGTATTACATAAACTTTTCTGAAACATGTTGCTGTTTATCCGTTTACTAGTACATAATTTTGAGAATTCGGGAGAGCTGATACAATAGTTGTTGCCTATAGCTATAGCCACTTTATTCTGTGCCGTGTTTAATCAGTAGAATATGTATAAATTACATAAAATATGTAAAATACATTTTATTCCGTTTGCACTGTCACTCTTCTATCAGTTCTCTATAAATCTGTCGTTCCGGAAATTAAACTGAGCTTTGAAAAGGGTGTCTGGAAAATAAAACTCAATTGACAATTTTTCACAGATGCCATTGATTGGTACTGTATTATCGCGAAATTAGGAGACATTTTTTTGGACTCGCTTCGCAAAACGGTGCCATTGCTATCAGAAGAGTAGCAAAGTCGCCGCCTAAAAAGGCATACTGATTCAGTCTAAATTGTGTCGCTAAACTTTGCGACAATACATTACCAGAAAACAAATTGCTAGGTCATTTGTATTAGAAGCCGTCTTTCTTACCAGTCCAGGTGTAGAAGTCGTTCTCCTTATTCAGATATATGTCTCCGTTGGGATTGGTAATTGTTCCCAGGCTCTTTCCGAAAAAGGCATAAGGATATATGTTTTGTAGCGCCAGCTTTCGCGTACGCGCATAATGGTGCGTTGCACAGCACTGTGCCAGTACCCACGGATGGCCGTTCCCACCGTTTTGGAAATCGTTTTTGGATACGAAGTTGCAATTTTCGCAGTTTGGCCAACCATCTTTTGGGCATAGAGGCAGACCTTCGGTGAATGCGGGTTCGTTAAAGTACGAATGAGGGTTTTCGAAGTCTTGATCTGGAAGATACGACAGCCATGTGGTGAGAACAGGAACATTGTTATACTCGTACGCAATGATAAAACGACGATAAATCGTTATAATTATTGATCCGTTTGGTTTGCAAACAAGAAATCGTCACCTTCTGTTGCAACTTGCATTTGATGTCTTTTATGTACAAGTAATTGTAGCTTCATTTTGTAGGCAATAGTCATTTAAGTAACAATAATTTATAACGCGGGCACACTAATTCTAAATAGTAAATTGCAGGAGTCTCCTGCAATGATCAGCGTGTCATCCCCAAATTCACTTACAGATATTGATAGACCACACGGATCCAGGATGTGTATATGTATATTGTTCGCGAACTTTAATTTTATAGCCGGCATCTTCCACTGTAATTACGGGCGGAGTATTTGGAAGCCCCTCTTCGGGCACTATCACATATGACGATACGGAGGACACAATGCCAGAAATAAGAAGATAAAGGAGCGCCATGTCAAGTAATGGTATTACAATCTACTTTAGAGCTTCACAATATTGCTGGGTATGAGGTCCAGGTTCATTCAACACTATAATAATGCAGTTATTCCATCCACTAAACTGTCTTTTTATATTAGAAAAATACCAGCTTTCTTGCGAGCAACTGAAAAAGAACTAATGCGTTGGTTGTCCTGGCGGCTTCTTTCGCGGCATTTGTTCGGCAAAAGGTGAATAATTCTAGTAATTCCGGTGTTAATATTGCCCAATCAAGTGGGAAAATCGTTCCATCCGAAAATTACTGCAGTCGAATACACTTCTGTCAAGTGCTTTCCAAATATTCAAAGCGGAAAACTGCTTAGACGACAGAGATATTACGCGAAAGTGAATGCTAGCTCTTCACTGTCGATTCCGAAATCGCATTGTCGGAAATTTTTTCCTTGTTCCCGGCAAACTGGTGTAAGTCCGCGTGACTATCGAAGCAGTTTTTGGCACGGAAATGTGGCCTACAGAGTTTTAAGAACGTAAAATTTTACATTAACAACCCCAAAAGGTATGATATGACGATGTTCTCATACTCGGTCGGTGCTGGTTGGATAAACAAACAAATTTTCATTAACATAGCGGGCTGTAAAATAACAGGAACTTCAGTTACGTTAGATTGGTATGAACCGGTGACCTTCCGTTATATACGCATTTACTTATTATATGTATTAAATATTTTGCAGTTCAGGGTAAAAAGCCATTTGTTGTGACAGTGAACTGAACCACCGTTGATCAGTCGTGGTTTGTTGCCTAACAGCTGGGAGATTTTAATGACAGCTAGCCCATGCGGATACTTATCACCAAAGCGTTTTATGGAAAATAAGTTACCTGAACGGTAATCAAGAAATCAATACTTTCAAGCGAAACAAAAAGGTTAGCAGACGTGGGAACTTAGATGCAGCTAAGTCACAGGCGTGCAGTATCCGAATTTTCGGCTAATTTCGCTGTGACTGAGTTCTTTTGAAATAAAAACTGTTTTATTACGATAGTGCCTATGGCCGCCTGCTTTTATTTTTTCGATGTTTCAGGACTTTAATTTTTTAATCATATTAACAAGATCAGTTTGAACGGGAGGTGCCAGTTGCAACTGATCAAAGTGACAGACCAGTCTACAAACTAAAAGAAAGAATATAATATTATTATAGGCGTGCCTCATCAGACCCAAATTACGGCGAGAGAGAGATATTTTCAAATCCATTTCGCGCCAGTATGTGACAATATCGTTAACCCGACATTCTCCGTAGCTGCAACACAGAAACATCGTTGTCAAGGTTGGCTTACAAAACAGTAGTTGCTACGCTTACAATTCAAGAAACATCTGCAGCGCGGCCCACTTCTTGCCGGGATAAGGAACACTTCCCAACCAGCGCGCATGCCGACTTTGAAGTTTCTCAACGATGGCCAAGGTAACCGGCGGGCAATTACGATTTAATTCGGCTTTACACTTTTGCATGCATACGTCATCCCACTCCTCCTTGCGAAATCTCATAATGGGAATCTTTATGAACAGTTTTAGCTTTTGGGGCTTCTGGCCCGAATTTGGCATTTCTGGATAAAACCTCGGTAGAAGAAAATGAGAAAGGCATACGGTGAAATTGCTGACAAACAACCGCTGGCAAACCGCTTTCAATGGCAGCAGATGGAAGCGGATTATCGCCCACTCTGGACTGCCCCAGTTGAACGTTCCCGCTGTTGGCACCCTCTCTATGCCGGCGCGGGGGTTTTTTACAATAGTAACTGGAATTATTGGCTTCAGACGCAGCAGTTCGACGACGACCGATACAGCATGGTTCAAGGTGTCGGCGCGGTGCTGCTTGTTGACCAGTGCCAGCGTTTTGGTGCTGTTGCTGACGACGCGATGGAATAACGTTCCGAGACGGTACGTTTACCATTATAATCCCTTAAAATTAGTAAATAGTAAGTAAGGTGGCTGAAAGCTGTAGCAGCACATCACTACAAATAACCCAGCGTTGACGGCGTCCAGCAGACGATTGCATTGATAGTTAACGAAGTCAGCACGATAAAGGGCGTGTAACGTTCTTGAAAACGTGCCCGTGTCGTGGTCTCATCGCTTTTTCGCGGTTGCGATTGACCGGTTTCCTCCAAAGCGTCTTGATCACCGGTCCGGACACGTCGGCGAGCTGTTGCTTTCCACAATAAATACAGATACGTTACGAGAATAAAGGTTACGGTGGAATCTACTATGACAATTTCATAGATTTGTGCATATAAGGTGTGTGCATCAAAATTTAACCGGCAGCCGTTAATTGGGCCGGGCAAACGATACCACAATGCGTCCATAATCTCGAAGGGTAAGGTAGCCGCGTGTACAAAGATCCACATTCCCACACACAGCGTGGTAGCCACCGCTCGCGAGTGTTTCTGATGATAGTGCGCGGGGTAGGTGAGAGCCCAGATACGGTTGGTGGTAATGAGAACTTGTGCCCAGTTCATGCAGGTGGCAAGATTGTCCAGCGAGTATAAATACAACTCGCAGAGAATGTTACCGGGCCACCAGTTGTGTTTCATCCAGATAATTTTTGTACAACTCTGAACAAACGAAAAAAACGATGTTGGAGAGCAGAAGGTTCATTAAGTAGATGTTGAACGTCGTACGCAACGTGCGTTGGGTTAACAGTATCAATAACACCGCGACATTCAGTAAAAATGTTGTGGTGCCGGTAAAACCCTTAAACCCAGCAACGAAATCCCATTGGAATTTCGTCGTTGGGTTCGTTAAATTACCGTCGTACAGGAAAGGGGCATCACTATCCGTACTGTTGACCATTATGGTACGTTTTGTACTATACAATTCTTACGATGGAACGGATAAAAAATCTAAGTAAAAAAGTGTCGAAAGCCTGCTTGCGGTTTCCGCTGGCCTATGCGCAGTGCTATATGAACGCTTCATTAGAAATTTTTATGGGGTACGGTTTTCGAAACTCCAGCAGAAATACGAGTATAGTTCATAGATTCCCACAGGAACCAGGTTCCGTTGACACTGCCAACTACATCCGTCCGTCTGATTAGAGCTATATCGTATCTGTAGTTATGCAAAAGTGCAAATAGCAAATAGATGGCTGCAAATAATACCATTATACTCTTTGCGCTTCGATTTACTTTTACGACTTATGTTACTCGTAATGTACTGCTTTCACTCGAATGAATTTTAGCTTTCGCATTTGGTGGATGCAGCAGTCATTGCAGTGTGATTTGGAACAGCTGCGAGCGGCAAAATTAATTATCAACCGACAAGTACAATGGACACCATAAATGTGGTTACACTCAAACCGCGCGCAACCAGATACTTATCTGTACTCAGACATCCAATTCCGTGCTGACCGTCGGCCTGCTGATGTTTACACTTGCACCTTGCACATTTCCCAACGAAAACCATCAATCGATAGCTCAAACGAATGAGAAAAAAATTCTAAGAATTTTGATACCAAACAAATTGGTTTTTATTACTTCTAAGAGAAAATCGAGGTTCCTAAAGTTTCCCGTAGACAAAGCATAGGATCCCTGCGTGTACGTGAAAACAAACCAAACCGTGGATTCAAATCCTATGCTATGTCTACGGGAAACTTTAGGAACCTCGATTTTCTCTTAGAAGTAATAAAACCAATTTATATCAAAATGAATTTTTTTTCATTCATTGAGCTATCGATTGATGGTTTTCGTTGGGAAATGTGCAAATTCCAAGTGCTTGAGTTTATTACGAGTCTACGCGCAATGGACATGACCGACTTCTTTTGGTCTGTTGTCGATCTTGCCGTTAAAATATCGGTCTTCGGACCGATTGTCAAGTGTAACCACATTTATGGTGTCCACTGTACCTATATCATATATTTATACCATACAATACATAGCACGTTTTCATCACTACTGTATTTATTCGTATGTGATAGCGGCACGCTTTGCGGCAAAAACGACTGACGACATGTTGCCGTTACTCACGCCCTCCACGTATTGTTTCAGATGCTTAATCGGCACAGACTTTTCATGCCTCAGACCTGTGTACTATAAAGGAAACCTGGAGAGCATTTAGTTAGAATTTCTTTTCATTTCGAATTTTCGCATGCCCGCGCCATACAAACAGAAACACAACTGTGCAGGGGTTTCCCAATCAGATCTGACAACTTCTAGAGCAGGGCAAGGAAAGCTTGCGCATTTTGAGAATAACCTCGAACTGACGCTGATGAGGAACGTTGACTGCCAAGGTACTCTGTATGTGATGTGGTCCAAGTGAAGGGAAATTAGCGCTGCAAATACAGCTGGGCTATGAATGAAAGATATCAACTATTATTTATGTTATTATAGTATTTCGCACCATGACCTGCAGGAGGCAACAGTCCCTACTACAGATAATTTTCCTTGGCTTGGGAGGTGTTTTAAAGATTTCCGTTCTGATGGGTTCCATTATACTGTATTTGCTAAGGAAAGAAGAAGGCTTCTCGAGAAATTTGATACATAGTTTGATTGGTCACCCACCCCGTTGGTGGAAGAATTCAAGGAAACGTGTTCTCGCGCGGATTCACTTTAAATCAATGCATAAGCGGAACGTTAACGTGAAAAAAGAGCTAGATGAACAAAAACAATATGTCTGCAGCATGAATAGTAAACCATAACGGAACCCTAGAAACATTAGTGGATCCGTCAGCCAGGGACAGCGGGTCCAACCTCGTGTCACAGTTCCGGAATGTGCAGGAAGCCTCGCTGTTTTAAAAACATTGCTAATTGACTTTATTGGTCGTGCCCATAATCTTTGACGCTTCCTGCGTGACCTAAATTACCGGAAATCCCGGAGTGCATTCAGTCGCATTTGCCCAGGCTAACATACCGTATCCTTATACTCATAATATCGAAATCAGGTTACAAAGTGCCAGCCAAACGTGAGTCAGTCATCAATAGCAGAGCGGATTGTTTATCTCAACCTAGTGACAGTCTATGTATGACCTTTAGCTTACAATTTGCAGATTGTGGCCATAATGTACAATTTTACACATAGACTATTTTTAAATGCGTCGAACGCTAGTGCCACTGAACATAAAAACGGTCGCGCAGCATTCCACGGCACCGTTGCTTGCGTTTACGTAGGTTTCCTCACGGCCGCTGTATTTCTGATTACCGTAATGGTCAAGAACCGCGAACACCTTACTGGTTCCCGTGTCTTGATGTTGCACCAATTAATCACCGAATGCATGATAACGCTGTTTTACTGGCCAGTCAATTACGTTCTCCTGCCGCTTATCCCGAACGTTGCTGACAAATTCTGCCGGCATTTCGAATACGGTCAGTTTATCACGTATGCCGCTGCTTGGTACGGATTATCCGTTTTGGCCCTAAACCGCTTTGTAGCCGTTATTTGGCCATTCAAATACCGAAGCTGGATAACGAAACCGGTAATCGCTGCGCAGATTTTAATCCCCTGGGTTATTGCAATATTCGCCCCTTTAAAATTTCGTCTGGCGCAGAAAGGATTTATTTTGAATCCCCGGGCGCGAACTTGCGATGTCGATACGAGTGACGCGAGTTTTCCTGCGATTTTAATTTTTGCCGTATTTATGCCGTTATTGTTAACCTGTGGATTGTACATTGCTCTGTTTATTGGAGTGAAAATCAGCAGGAAGGCAAAAATTACAAATGCGACGCAGTCTTTGGCATCTGGATCTGGCACCAGATCAACTAGCATGCATTCCACCCCGGCAAGGATTCGAGCCGAACATACGCGAAGAAGTGAGCGACGTATCCAGTTGGCCAAGGAACTGTTTTGCATGTCGGTCGTGCATTTGATTGGCTTTGCCTCCGACCCGATTTTCGTTGCCATCGTTCCGGATGCCCAAGAAAAGTATCCCGCTATTCGGCAATGGATACTCTTGGTATTCTATCTCGGCTATCTCTCGACACCGGTAATTCCGTACGATATGTCATGTGCTTAATACTGATGCTAACAAGCAATTGTATCGCAAATTTGTAGATCACCATCGCTTCCACAAATCAAGATGCCCAAATGGTGCTGAGAAGAATTTTCAGGCCGATTTTGTGCTTATGAGAAGCGCAGAAAATCTTGCAGCAGCAAACGTTGCCATACCTAATTAATAATAAACGACTCTTTTACAGCGGTGAAGTCGCAATGGTTCATTGATTTTTAATCCTACTTTTGTTTTGATAAGAATGTAGACGTAGGAGTGTATAATCGATAGTTCTACAGCGCATGGCTTTCATGAATGATTTTCGTAAAATATCCTTGTCGAAAGAGGCGCATAGCATTAAACGTTCTGCTACAAACTACGTGTATGTGTACTGTATATGTGTGCGTGTATGTGTACTATACGTGTATTGTACAGTATATACCAGATAATACATTCATGGACTCGTAATTACCCAAATTAAAGCAACCTCGGATTGTGATATAAATATTGTTCTTACTTTACTGGACCAGACGATCATTTACTCAGTTTTCACTGCCTTTGTATTTAAAATATTCTAGCCAGCAACATGCCAGTGTTTACATTAGGGTTTGTAAAACAAATAAGCTTTCTACTATTTCTCCCGGCTTGCTTGTACCGTCATGGTGCAATCGTATGCCAGTAATAAAGATGCCAAGTACATTCCAACCGTCAGCCGTGGTACCGTTTAATACCGTTCACGGCTACATGACGCTGGGGAATAATAATTAATATTGACTCCTGCCATACATATCTCTATCCACATATCTCCATTTGCCGCTTCTGCGTGCGATCCTATCGATAATATTTTAAACCGGTTCAGCATACGTGGTAGCCGTAAAAGTAAGCGACGATGCATACGTTGGGAACACTGCGACTGCAGTGGTTATGTACACAGTACAGCTGCGCACCGGTACGGTCTTTTCAATTTGAAGACATTCGCAGTTTGTAGTTTGCTGTGAAATCTGACAACAGTGCACAGTACTCTGTACGCCTTTATATTTTTTATATCATTATTGCATTCAAAATACGACACCATGCCGAGTCCGTTCCTGAATAATCTGGATGGCCTGGCCACGGTGGCAGCTGGTATTTTCTCCGGAACGGCATTCTACACTTCCTCGCAGGAAGTGCCTGCCATGCGCGATCTGGGCCTGAATGAGCACTGGAGGTTTTTCCCTTACATGTACCATCGTGCATTTGTTTACCAAAGTATGCTACTGTTTTACCTTAATTGCAGTTATTTCGCTTGCAAAAAACTGCTGATCGTTAAACATATTCTTTTTTGCCTTAAATGCTGTTTTGTTTTAAAAATCAATGTCTACCTCGTTCTTTAGGCGTATGTAAACAACTTAAGCAAGCACTCTGTACACAAAAACACTTAAATTTTCAAGAACGTTTTATTCTGACTCCAGGCGCTGCGGGTATAACGGCTGGTGTCGGCAGTATCATCCATGGACTGCGCATTGTAAATTCGGATTTCGACCAGAAATTGTGGATTGGCGTAGGAGCATCGTTCTTGGCGCTCGTCCCGTACACCTTCATCTTCATGGTGCCGACAAATAACGCCATCTGTGAGGACAGCAAACGGGTGACCGAAGGTGGACAGTCCCGTTTTGAGATCCATCAGCGCCGGGATATGCTGGAGAAGTGGAGCTCCATGCACTTGGTGCGCACCGTCACTTCGTGCGCTGCCTTCGGTGTCATGGTCTATGCGCTGGCGCGTCATGCCAATCTGGTTTTCCGGCAGTAAAACCGTCTGGAAGTAACGGGATAACCGGTTGCAGATAGCGATAGGTTACTGGCATTTACTGTTGCTGTGCTAGCGCCGTGCTAATGTCGTTATGATTTTTTATTTGCATGATCATGGTCTTCATAATTCACTGTAGCGGGATTTGTTAAGATAACTGGCACAAGTACGGTATAATCGCTGTTGTTGAATTTTTCTTAGTTTTGATTGATTGTATTTCTTGTGTGAAGAATAACTGAACATAAGCCTAAAATTATCACGACCTCGGCGCAAATTTGCACGAACGTTTCAAAGTAGAATTTATTCAGTAAAACGTTTTCACGCGCGGAGTACTGCCTAGTTTGAAAGTCCCTTGCATTTTACAAATACGAATGCACATCCTATGCTTTGCATATTATGCTATATTATCGTACACAGTATACCGGCACATGCCGATGTTAAAAGCCATCGTTCGCCGTACATCTTGATAAGTTACTACGCCGTCTGCAGCTGTTCAGCGAAGTGTAAACAGTCGTTATATCAACAACAAAGAAACCGGTAAACTGCGGTACGGGATACCGGCGGTAGCCAACGGAAGTACGGTATATATAATATCTTCCATATGTCTATCTGGCTCATACGTAACGATGTACGAGAAGTATGTGCTATGCAGATTGTTTTGCTTGATATTCTCCGTACTGCAGCGTCTGCACTTTAAACCAGTTTCGCATAATGCTGACTGCAAAAGTGGGCGACATGACAGGCGTTTAAAAGATTATGGTCGCGTGATTAATCACTTTTTCCGTCTTCCACTTTGAAGTATAACACAGCCGTTTTTTCTCAGTTTCCTCTAATCTCTCCCAAAATTGTTATACTTTCAATAACGGCTGAATCATGCCGCACCCGCTTTTTAATAACCTGGATGGACTGACCACCGTGAGCGCTGGCTTATTTGCCGGCACAGCGTTTTATATGTCAACACAGGAAGTGCCGGCGATGCGCGATCTTGGTCTGGATGAAAACTGGAGATTCTTCCCGTATATGTACCATCGCGCTTTCATCGCGCAAGGTATGTTTAATAATTTCATACTTAAATACAGGGGAAGCTGAATAATCCATCCGGATCCACAATTACATGTAGTATGGTGATCTTATTATACAGATGTATACAATAAAAAAGCCATTTGTGTATAAGTATATACTAGTAAACAAAAATTTTTGAGTAACCTTGCATGTTAAGCTCACTCAGTGTTACAGCAAACAAGGCTTGTTCTAAAAATTGAGACAGCCCATTTATAAATTTCCTCGGCAGTTCCGATACTGTACTTACACCCGTTATAACAGGTTCGCTATGTTCATTGGCTGGCGTGGGCAGTATCACCCACGCTCTGCGAATCATCAACTCGGACTTCGACCGCAAATTGTGGTTGGGCGTGGGAGCGACATTTCTGGCTGTTTTGCCCTACACCTTTATAGTCATGGTGCCGACAAATAACGCCATCTGCGAGGACAGTAAGCGTGTCACCGAGGGTGGTCAGTCCCGCTTCGAAACAGGCCGACGCCGAGAGATGCTGGAGACGTGGAGCTACATGCACCTGGTGCGCACTATTGGCTCCTGTGTCGCTTTCGGCGTTATGGTGTACGGACTGGCACGTCACGGCCATCTGGTTTTCAAGCAGTAAAAATTTGGTCGGAAACGTTAACCGTTCTGTGCAGATATGTATTACCTAACTGCCACAGCCGACTCAAACACAAAACTGTATCCTCCACAAACAGTGGTGTCCTTTATTCTTCAGAGTTCAGGTGGTGGTGTACTTGCCTATCTTGTGTTTGCGTTTCGGTTTTTACTAAACAAGCAGTGTAATTCAATCCAAAAATGAATGGAAGTCGGATTTTCCTGTTCATCTTGAATAAGTGCTTAATTTTTCCTGAAGGTATCTTATTGTCGCTCTTGTGGTTTCTTTGGTAATGCATATTATTGGTTGTTACTTATTGCACATTTGTTTCTGTTTATTGGTGTCGTGTTACAATATACGTGGTGAAGAGTCAGAAGAATGAATGTTAAACAGGTAGATCATAAAGCAACGAAAGAAAAAGAATTTTTTAAGGGAGTAGAAATAAGATCACCTAAAAAAAGTTATGTCCGTGACGATTCTTATGGTTAGGAATGCTGCTGTAATGTTACATGTGCTACTTCAAAACAGGTACCAATGCAGCGCTTTGTTCCCTTATTAGCTGCGATACTGGGCGTTTTCCTTAACAAAAACCAGGTTATTAAGCCAAATATTGTTCAAAATTGTTCCTGAAGGAAGCCACTTAAACATTTTCATAATAACTCTTTATTTTAGCGTTTTAGGTGCAACATTCCGATCCATACAATAATTATATCACTATAACACAGACGCTGTCGTTCCGTGGTGCGCGTATGCTCCAGAGAAATTTGCGCTTCGGACAGGGAAATTCCGTGCAACCTGCTACGGTATCAGTTAAGCTGTGCAAGAGTTGGGATATCCATATACAACCTTTTAACAAACTGATCATCGTTCACTTTATGAATAAAACCCACCGCTCCGCAGACTGTTCCGGTATGGGGAATGGGGATGCATGTTGTTGGGAAAGTGCGGCAGCCATGCGTTGAAGCACCAACTGGCGCCTCGTTCGTGGGGATTTGGCTACGCCACTGTCATAAGCACGGCACCCACAGTGTGACAGACATCCTCCGCTTGGGTTTTGTCGTATGCATAGTCAAAACCAACAGCAAATGCTTCTCTGCAATTAGTGCATGTCTCAGTGCAACTAGCAAGGAAGTACACAGATCGGTATTAGAAACTTAATTTTCCGACACTTTCCCCGCTCCTATCAGCCGAGTAGCGATCACATCAGAACAAGCCGAAGAAAAAAATTTATCAAGACCGTGAATGAGTTTTCATATTGTTTTTATTACATCAAGAGCAGAGAACCCTATAGAACGATCTGCTCTTTATTCCATCGAGAACTAAATACAACAAACAAAGGATAACAACAACAACAACAACAATAAACGAGCGGACAATTACGGTATATGGAAATCTCGCAACGTTAACATTACAAACCCGATTAACGGGACTTCGACGTCTGGTCGGTAAAAACAATAATTACTAATAATATTCATGATTGTGTAAACACTGCTCAAAATTCCAGGATGCGGTAGCATCCATCACAATTCCACCCTCACGATGCCAGCCAGCTCCTTCGTGTACGCATTCAGCACGGGACGCACTTCCAAATCCAGAAACTCTTTCACCTACGCAAGAAAAGCAAACCGCATTAAAGTGGTACTGAAATGTGTACTGCAACGTTTGCAAAGTATCGCAGTACTTTATGAACGAAGTAGGTTTAACCCGAAATTTTTTTATCAAGCCCGTCATTTGATACAAGTTACGGCCGCGTTAGCGCGCCGTCATTCGAGTCAAGTGAAAATCGACAGAATTTTTTACTTGTCCTTTTCGGATGATTTGTTTATAGCACTTTGAGGGTTTGCACGCTTAGGACTAGTGTATCTGGCAGTGACAAAGAATATTTCGATGAAAGTCAAGTAAATGAAAATCAATTTAAAGCTGACACAACGGTGCGAAAGTCGACAATTCCGCCGACTAGCGCTTAGTCACAAACGGCCGTTTATTTTTATCCGATGTTCGGATGTTGTTTCCAAATTTCGCCGCATTTTTACCTGTTGTTCGGCGCGTCCCGTGAACGCCTTCGGATTCATCAGGTCGTCCAGTTGCTGATGGATCTTGGCGAAGTAAGCATCGTTGCGGATGCGCTGCAGCAGATCGTTGTCCTTGCCCTCCTGCTTGACGACATTCCCCGCCAGCTGCGATAATTCGCGCAGTTTTTCATGGCATTCCTGCCGATCGCCACCGGCCTTTACCATGGCCATGAGAATGCTCTCGGTGGCCATAAAGGGCAGTTCCTCGCGGATACGCCGCTGAATCACGTTGGGATAAACCACCAGCCCTTCACAAATGTTCTGCAGTGTAATCAGCAGAGCGTCCGCGATCAGGAAAGCATCCGGAATGCAAATACGTCTACGAAACGAAAAACTCAATTTTACTTGCAATTTTTAGCAACATAATGACACATTTGATACCGGTAACAAATTCCACCATCATAAGTACTTTTATGGTTAGTATCACATACAAGATTCCTAAAGAAATGTTTGTCGAGCATGCCAACATGGTTATGAATAAAAATAATATTTAAAAATATAAATATCATATATTTTACCTGTTGCAACTCGTTCTTGTGTTAATCTATTATGTTTCGATATATTGTTAATAATACTATTTCTATAAATAAGGACATTATTATGAAGATACATTTTTTATTGATTATAAATAATACAAATTAACAAAAACATCAACAAAAATAAAAATGAATGTAATTTTTATAAATTAATACTAATAAAGCACCAATAATTATTTATATTAACCTATAAAATCATTTTACAGAGATTCATAGCATTTCTGCATCATTAAGAATGTTCTTTAATAAACGTGGATAAAATCGACTTTTCAGCGCTGAAAACAGGAGAAAAGGCGTGAACTTTCTCACGCTGACAATAACTTTCGTTTACCGATTGGCACTATCGTCCAAAGTCCGCTCCATCCACTGCACCGCGTGCGTCTGCAGGGCATCGTTGACCAGGTTCATCAGATGGCGCGCCAGACTGCAGCAGCGTTCACTGCGCATCGGATTGCGCTTGTAGGGCATCGCGCTCGATCCGATCTGGTCCTCCTCGAAAGGCTCCTCAATCTCCTTAAAGCTGGCCAGCAGACGAATGTCCGTACAGATCTGCGCATGATTAAACAGATAATATGCTACAATAATGATATGTCGTCGATTGAATCGCTCGTTACTGCAGTTTTATTAGAAAGTGCGTAAAGGCAAAATTTAACCTTACTTATAATTCATCATACTCAAAATACATCGCTTTTTCTCTTATTCCGGCCACTTTGGATGTATGGATTTATATTTCGGTCACCAGGTAGTTAAATTTCCTGACAAAACGGAGTTGACAAAGATCAGTAGTTGTTACAAAAACGACTTCTCTTATTAAATTTGAACGTATAACATTAGTAAATTTTTATGAAAATTAAGCAAATAACAGAAACTCTGAATCAGGTGAGACCCAAAACACCGGTCTTTTACTCTTTAAACTTTCAACAAATGAAATTTAATGGACCCCTCAAACGTGTGAGGGTTGGGGGGGCTTGCTCTGCGTCTGTCTGCGAACAGCAAATTGACGGGTGGCTAGAGGCAGTGCGATCAGCAGATATGTATGTATCGAGATATTTGTGTAGTGCGCCACACCATTACCCGTCGCCGTCGCACCATTACCCGGTGACCGAAATATGAAACCATACACTCAAAGTGACCGGAATATGAGAAAAAGCGAAATATAGTGAGAAAAATCAGCCATAATCTCCAGTTGTACCTTATGCACGGACGATCCCAGTCCAGCCAACACCGATAAAACTTCCAAATCCTGTTTGCGCGTGTATGTCTGTCCGCAAATGACAAAACACCTGCACAGAGAAAAAAAAATTACACAAAGAGGCACGAACTAAAATGTTTAGTTTTAAAACCAAGAAGAACAGCTGAAAGCAATTTCGAGCATCGAGTTAGCGCTTACTTCTTGAAGCCGGCAAGATCGCAGACGAGACGATCCAGATTCTGAACGTTTTCGTCGAACCCATCGAACAGCTGGACGAAACTGGCCTGCGTCCCGGTGGTGCCCTTGACGCCGCGGAAGCGCAGATCGGTTTTGATCCGTTCGAAATTATGCAGATCCATCACCAGATCGCCTATCCACAGCGCGGCACGCTTCCCGACCGTGGTCAACTGCGCTGGCCTACGATTTTACAAAAAATTAAAAATGAATACGGACAAAAGTTTTAGATTAAAAGAATCGATAAAGCGCACAATTTACACATTTTTCACAGCAACTAATTAAATTACTTCAATATCAATTACATCAGTATAGTAATAATTGAGCATAAAATTTGATGCTTTTAATTAGCGTCAACCTGCGCAGGTGTATTGTTATGTGTGCTGGCGGATGCCGAATAAAAATAGAATAATTATGATGAGTTAAATTATGGAGGAAAAAATTAACTGAGTTTGCGTCAAAATAGCCACAGCGTAAAATGTGCAAAAATGAAAAACACCCTTAGCATAATAGCATTACAGAGATGAAAAACCGCCGTACGTAATTCTTATCAGGCAAAAAAATGGTAGCATTTCTCCAAAACAACAATCAGAAAAAATTTTGCAAATTTCCTCCGTCAACTTTTAACACGGGAAAAATTGACAATAATTAGTCAGCTTACTGCAAATGAGTGTATCCCAGAGTAGGCAAGGCTTTGTAATCATCAGCAAATTTACTCAGACGATCAATGCAGCGCGCCAGCTAAATTCCGACAAAACACATTCAAACACCCACAGAAATTTTACAAACGAGTACAGACTCCCATTTTAATTTCAGCAGTACATATTAACAGAATAATCTACTATTCTACCTTCGGCAGGAGTATTTGCAGCCCATCGCGGATGCAGATAAGATCCTGGACAAAACAATGATACCAGCAAAATTAGTGCTTACAGAATGCGAAAATGAAGGGCGCATTGCTATTAGTGTGCGTTATCATTGTGGCTTACGGTATTGTCGGTCACGTAGCAGGATGTGGCTCCCAGATGGATAATGGCTTCGGCTTTCTTGCACTCCTTCCCGAAGGTCCGCACATGCGCCATCACATCGTGCCGGACACGCTTCTCCTCCGCCAGCGCAAAATCCCAGTCAATGCGCTCCACGTTGGCCTGCATTTCCGCAATCTGGTCTTCTTGGATGTTCAAACCCAGCATCTACATGTATAAATTTAAATAATACTATGTGCCACAAAGGCACACTTGCCTTCTGAAAACATAAACGACTTAACGGAAAATATTACAAAATAGTAAAAAGGAGTGGAAAAACTTTCATGACTACTCGCTAGACGTTCACGACGTTTTAAAACGTTTTAAACCGCTGTACAGAGTATAATCACGAAACATCTGCCAGTGCACAACACTTCCTATCAATTTTAAGCACCAAGTAAGCAATGGAGCATCTGCGGTCTATGCCTAAATAAATAACACAAGCCACAATTTCACCATATAAAAATTGATATAAAATCCACAATTTTTTCTCACAAAGCCTCAGCGAGAAAAAAATATTGGAAAACTTGTAAGAACAAGCAAAAATGAAAGAATATTCGCCAAATAAAATTATGATGAGTACATACTTTGATTATAATGGCATAATGCTCGACTGGTATGTTCAGTTCTATATACTTTTTAGCTGCATAAACTCAAAATGGTAAAAATATAAGCGATTTATAATATTCTTATGATGTAATTTTATGTGATAATGTAACTGGCAGGCTGAAAACACCCACAAACCCCGCCACTGAGATGTGCGTACCTGTTGCGATTTAGCCAGCCAGATCCACAGATTTCTCCAGGTGATGATGCGCTTGCGCTCACTGAAGTTATAGCACATCTCCTCGCTGGCATAGCGCTGCTCCAACGGGCTTTGGTAGCGGGACTTTTCGGGATTCTTGTCATTCATAGCCATGATGGCCATTGGCAGGGATTCTTCACAAGCGCAAAGCGTGGCGGAACACAAACCAGGCTAGTGCAGTGTATCACTCAACGCCTTCGCCAAATCGGTGAATCAATGAATGGAACCGTCACTCCCGTGATAGAGGTACGTTACAGCAGTACCTAACTGCAAAATTATTTGCGCTGAATATCTGAAAAAAGGATGGAACAGAACAATCAAACAAGCGACACAGAAAAAGTCAGAAAGCTGCCAGAAGAGTCGGTGACTGTGAGAGAACTGCAGAAGTCAGAAGAAATCTGCTCTCATTGTTTTCTATCTTTTGATTTTCCACTTGGGCGTCGTGACGTCACACACTACTTCCGGTATATGGCGTACCAAATACCTCACCCCGTAAACCTTAAAACTTAAAACTCAGAACACTAAAACGTAAAACACTAAAACGTAAAACGTATGTAAAACACTAAAACAACAAAACGTAAAACACAAACGTAAAACGTAAAACACTAAAACACTAAAACGTAAAACGTAAAACACTAAAACGTAAAACGTAAAACACTAAAACGTAAAGCCGTAAAACGTAAAACACAATACCGTAAAACTCAGAACTCAGAATCGTAAACCTCAGAACTCAGAATCATAGAACTTGAAACTGTAAAGTGTAAACCCTGAAACATGAAATCGTGGTTTTCGTGGACTTAGACACTTTTCAGATTTCCAATTCCACAATGCCAATTCCAATAATATTAATGGAAGTCTACTTAATTATTGGAGTTAGGCGGTGATTTTGGAACTGGATTGGCGTTGGTGGAACTACCGTTTATTTTTGCTTAAAATTATCTAAGTCCACGAAAACCACGATTTCATGTTTCAGGGTTTACAGTTTCAAGTTCTATGATTCTGAGTTCTGAGGTTTACGGTATTGTGTTTTACGTTTTACGGTTTTACGTTTTAGTGTTTTACGTTTTAGTGTTTTACGTTTTACTGTTTTAGTGTTTTACATACGTTTTAGTGTTTTACGTTCTAGTGTTCTGAGTTTTAAGTTTTAAGGTTTACGGGGGGTGAGGTATTTGGTACGCCATACCGGTAAGCATGAAGGGGTATCCAAATACGTCGTAACGAAAAAAAGTTTCAATTTTGACCCATACTTCTACCGCTGGCGCCGATCTACTGTAACAACAACTTCGACTTCCGGTACCGCGTTACGTAATTTATGGAAGCCCCCTAAACGTATCCGCTGGGCGCTGGGCGTCTGACTTACTGGCCTTTGTGAAATTTTTGCCGAGATACGAGAATAGTTTTTAATCCACCTTCCAGTATCATTATTGTGCGCATGTAAAAAATGATAATTTTTGGGCACGCTCTGCTGGAGTTTGACCCAGTCAACCAATGGAACTCCGTGGATGTGCTGACAGAGAGCGGACTCATCCAGCACGGCGAAGTGATCGATGTGGCGGAGGACGGACTGATCGTGGATTTCCACTGCAGCGGACAGCGATCAGAATTTCTGATCTGCGCCGGAATGGCAACCGCCGTAGACGTTGTTTCGCACGTCACCAATTACAGGGATTACACAGTGCACCAAAATGGGAACTACGCATACGCTACGTATCACGTAAAGATTGGCGCTTGGTAGGCGCACTGTAATACTGGGGACACTAACTGACCGCAGATTTTACCGAGCACACTACTCTTTTTTATCAGGCATGTGTCTTTCGCTTTGTAGACCTTGGTTTTCTGTTAATTTTCATGTGCCACCCGTATTTGCAGACAGCACGATTTTCAAAACGCGCCCTAATTAAAAATTACAGTAGGAGTACGCGTTGCTATGGAGCAGCCACGACTTCCCGGCTACTCGAAGGCTACTGTGTCCAACCGCCCTCGGGCGGCGTGGCGGCGCAGATCAGAAATTGGTTAAATACGATCCGGAAGGTTTTGTACTTTGTCCTGGACGACGCAACATGCAACGTTTCTGGTTGAACAAAATGCTGGATCGAATCCAGAGGAGACGGACTCACTTATGGAGAACGCTAGCGTGTAAGTGCTGTGCCGATCTTATCCTGGAGCTGCTTGGTTATGGCATCCCAGCAAACTACTCTGTCCAGTGGTAAATCTTCCCAAGGACAACGCCCTTTATACCGTAAAAGTTCTGGAGAAGGGCCGGGAACGTTTAGCACTATTCCCCGGCGGCCAAGGGCGTGTACCGCCGCAATGGTATGAGCTAACTGCTAGATGCTCGAAAGGCGCGCTATATGTGATAGATACGAAGTAAAAGTGCGCCCTTTGCCGAAGAATAATAATTGGTCAACCGTCACAGCAGATATCGCATCTCGAGTCCGTCACCGCATTGAGCGAAAGTTCGGAGCGCGCATCCTGTCAGTCGGCGAACAAACGCTCACGGTTCTGCCCGGGGAGGGTTTTTACTGTTTAAAGCAGAAATGGTGCGTACAAATATGTCGCATTTTTCTTTTTTATTTGTTCAATTTTGTTTTTGTGAAGTGAAAAACAACCAGTTAAACATTTATCCATAACTATTTGTTTTAGCGGTTTAGACACAACATTCCGATCCGTACAATATATCACCATCACACAGACACTGCCATTCCATGGTGCGATTGTACTTACTCCAGAAAAATTTGTTGAAAGGTCGTATATGGATATTCCATCCTTGCCGCTTGCGCAGCTTAATACCGTAGCATGTTGCACCGAATTTCTCTGCCTGAAGTGCAAACTGGTCATCGCTCACTTTATGAATGAAACCGACCGCTCCACAGAAACCTCTGGTATGGGGATGCGTAATTGTATACTCGTATTGTTGGGAAAGTGCGGCAGAGCGTCGGCCAGCTATGCGTTGAAGCACCAATGGCAACTGGCTCCTTGTTCGTTGGCGTTTTTCAGCTGCGCCATTGTTGCGAGCATGGCACCCACAGTGCGACAGGCATCCTCCGCTTGGGTTTTATCGTATGCATAGTGGAAACCAACAGCAAATACCTCTTCTGCAATTACAGTTGTACACAATATGTGCGTTAGTGCTCAGATAAGGGTCAGTCAGTTTAGCGTACGCATATGAAAACCGATGTTCGAACATGCGTATGGCGGTTCATCGTTGGAATAATTTACCATGGGAATAAGAAGTTAAGACTTAAGGCCCTTACAAATTACGTACAACTATACGGTGGAGGGTGGACGATGGTTTTGGTGCCATTTTAAAGCAATCTTTCCAAAAAAATGCCTGCTGTTTATCGTTTTTGTGATTTACCATCTATGGCACTATTTATACACCTTAAATTTTCGAAGTATGCCGCGCTCTTGTATTCTTTGTACTCCAATATCCGCGCTATTCCTACTTGGAAATGTTTTTAAATATTTCCGAAGCTCGTTCCGCGTTAGCGGGGCCATATGCTCTAAATCTCCAGTTGAAAACTTTTTCTTAGGAAACTGTCTTAAGAATTATGAGTATTTCAAACGTTGGTCAGATGAATGAAAAGGCCGCTAACAAAACTAAAAATATATACATATTTAGCATACGTGAACGATACTGTCACGATTATTGCTCTGGGATATTGTGAATGCCATTCAAAAATCATGCAATGGAACAGATTGTGCGTATGACCTCGTGCATATGCGCAATTTTATGGTTTTTGCATTATCTTGTACCTTTGTCTTCTACGTTACAGCTGTAGAATTTTCTTACAAACAGTTTGTCATACGACAAACGTATTAGACCCGTTAATGGGTCTATGGTCTAAGTAATATATATTACTTAGACAATTTTATTAGCTACTAAAACTTATCCTAAAAATTAGGGTATAAAGTTGTACACGATAAGCGAAAAAACATTCAGAATTCAAACGTCTCCTGGATTTGTGATACAGAAACGTATGAAAAAGAGTTTTAGCAATTAATAAAAGCATTTCTCGAGGCGATTGCCCATATTGCGTCAAAATCAGTGTGCTTCAAGCACATTAAGTTCCCTATGTCGCTGAATCTGATTTCAGATCTTTTATCGCTGATTTACAGTTGCAAGTTCTGAGAAATGTAGTACTATCAGACGCCCAGTCATGTTGTTCGGCTAACTTTAAGTGGTATGTACAGAGTACAGTACGATGCTGATTCCTCTTGTCTATGATCAGGTTGTCGTAATGCACGTAAGATGGGCAAAGGTTAGTTCGGTCCACGAAACAGTGGCACGTTGAAGCATGGAATTGTCACACTTCTATGACATGAGCCACACTCCTTTCCTGATGGGAATCGGCGCAAAGTGCACTCGAGGCTCGCTTCCGTATTGTCTTTTACAAACGCGGATATTTCGAGTACCGTGCAATATTTCACGGCATTTAATATCTCGCGGTGGTTGCATGCGTCAACGTACAGCGAGTTAGTAGAAAGCTGAATGTACATCTATCGTTTCCATCCATATTTATTTTAAACTTCTGTTTGTGACATTATCTTCATTGTATTAAGTGTGCGTGGTATTTTAAGAATGGCTGTTATCTGGTTATTCATTTGTCTTCTAAATTTCTATTTCTGGTCCGGTAAGTTGACGTAAATTCGTTCATGAAGCACATCGTACATGAAGCGCAAAATGTAACCACTTTAAAAAACCGGATAACACTATGATAACTTCTGAAAAAGGGTCTGCAAGTGCCGGCAGTGATGCCGATAACAGCACAAGCGACACAGATGGACGGTATTCGGCTAGTCTGTTCGAAGGAGATATCTTGGGAATCGACACAATGGCTGATCTCGAATCAGTACAAGTAGGTTGTGGTTTGAAGTGACAATTTATAAAAATAGTGCCATTATTTCGGATTAATTACAGACCCAATCCAATGCCGTCAGCGTAGAGTCTAGGAGATGGCCAAGAGGAATAGTGCCCTACACTCTTGGTCCAGCATTGCGTATGTTTTTACTGTACTACGATGAGCGATCTTTATCAGATCACAAAATTTAATCCTCACCGTATCCACAGATAAAAACAGAAAGTAAAGAATGAAACCTAGATGCACTAGCTATCGGTAAATTAACTGCATTAAATTAAAATAATGCAAGCAAGCGACAAATCATCATTACAGGTGTCCATCAAGGTACCATTCTGCAAGCAATGGCATTGATTACATCTGAAACCGACGGATGTATCCAGTTTGTCCCTCGAACGCACGAAAAAGATTACGTAGAGATTTCCCAAGTTCACGACAGGTTTGAATCCTTTATGCCAACTGCTGATGTTTCGTGCTTTAAAATCCAAAGTTAGGCACACCCCACAGTACATTTCGTATTAAATTTATCCTATTTGAAATGGCTCATTAGGTGCGCATCGGAAGTGGGCCGAGCAGGCTACCGGCAGCGGATCTACCTCACATCCCGATGCGCCAGGTCCTTGGGTCACGTTCTTCACGAACTGATGCATACGTTAGGATTCTTCCACGAACACGCTCGTAAAGATCGCGATGATTTTGTTACCGTCAACTTCGACAACGTTAAAAACTGTAAGGAATATTTGCACATATAATATTCAATTTAATTATACCCACTTCATAGTTCATCTATAGGGTGTTGTCATCCGACTTGCAACTTATTGATGCCACTGATCAAAAACTTTATGATGTAACCCATAAAAGCGAAGTTCGGCCAAATATAAAGCCGACTATTTCTGCGTGAAGCGTCGGTAATACTGCCTTGTATGATAATACATCAATCCTACGATTTAAATGCGCGTTTGGGGTGGAAAACGTAGAGTAACTTGTTTGCGGGTGTTGTACGTGGCGGACACACCTTACTGTTTTAAAACAAACAGTTTTGTTGACTTTATGTTTTTCAGTTGCCGAGGTGCGAATCAACTTCGAGCGCAAATATATCGACACCACCGTGCTTGGCCTACCTTACGATTACCTGTCGATTTTGCATTATTCACCGGTAGCGTTTGCCAAAAGTCCTTTTACACCGACCATCTCCACAAAACGACCTTTTAGTATTGGCCAGAATTATAACTTGAGCTACAGTGATATCATACGGATTCGCAAATGTTACGGCTGCAACGTGGAAGGTAAAGGTAAGCAGCAGTTGAAAAAGGCTTCTCATTAGGTGCGTTTACTTGCAATCAAACGAAATTCATATTTCTTTGATTTTAAAAGGATGTTTTTTAAATGTACGCTTTTTAAGGACTTTTGTGGTGCGACCCGTAATAATTTTAATCGTAGAGGAAGTATTTGCCGTTGGTCTGAACTACGAATACGACAAAACCCAGGCCGAGGATGCCTGCCGGACAGCGGGTGCCGTATTGGCGACAAAAGCACAGCTGGAAAAAGCCCACGAGGACGGCGCCAGCTGGTGTTTCTACGGATGGTTAGCCGATGAAATTCCGCACTTCCCTAACAGTATACACCTTCACCCTAAAGGCTACTGTGGAGCGATTGGCGTTCTGCATAAAGTGGGAGACGAACAATTTACGCTTCAGTCAGGAAAATTCGGTGCGACCTGCTACGGCATTAAACTGAGGAAGCGGCAAGCGTGGAACATCCATATCCGACCTTTTAATCAGTTTCTCTGGAGCATCCATGACCGCACCATGGAGCGACAGTGTTTATGTGATGGTAATATACGGTACGATGCGGAGTGTTGCACATAGCACATTACCGCTTTTTCCATGATGTAATAGTCAACCCAGATATTCGATATTCATCAAAACAACTACAACTACCGAGTACTGTAGCTTTTGTTGTTTCCAATATTGTTTTTGTCGAAAACCGGTGCAAAAGTTGAAATCATTGAATTCTGTATGCCAAATTGATGCCAGATACAAAGAAGATTGGAAGAATACATGTTTCCCACTTGCACGCTGCTAGCTTTCGTGAATCTTGATTAATGGATTAAACAAAATCTTCTTTATTTAATTTTCTGCTGTGCAGCCAGGAAATCCCATGCTAGATTATCAGTCTGACAGGGAGCGGGCTACCTGCTTGGATTCCAATAAAATTTAATTTAATTTACATACGGCATAATTTGGTATCCATACAAGTGTACACTGCAGTCTCAAAGCTTCCCAAGTTGGGAAGCTTTGGGAATCCCAACCGTAATAAAGTACGTACCTTACCGCGCTATACCGCGTTATCTTACGCTAACGACAGCCATTTTCTCTTGTTCACGGTTTGTTACGATTACATCCGTACCTTGATACGAACAGTTTTTATAGACGTATATATTAGCATACGTATCACTTCTTTAAGTTTGGACGCTGGTTCTAGTTTATGGTATGATACTTATACTTATGGTTTATGATTTATGGCATACGTGTAGCAATAATACAATCTCCAAGTGATCGCGCCTGATATTATATCGATTCGTGGGGAGTACATGCAGCAAAATTTGTTGCTACGTACTTTTGCCTTTTCGAAAGCTCCATACAGGTATATACTTGTACACCGTATTTACTCTTTAAAGCATTTATAGCAGGGCATACTGAATTAAACTGAAATCCGTGTTCAAGGCTTGTACTATACAGATGGCTCAGATGCCCGCCAAAAAATATGGTTCCTGTTGATAATTAAAGAGGTCCTGGAGGCACAGTGCTTAGTGCACTGCTGACGTAGTTAATTTGCCGATATCGATTTCTCGCGGTAACGGATAAAACTTTCATCAACTATTGTTTACATGTGAATGCTTGAGCGACTTCGATTTTTGCTGCGCATCCTACGCCAATTGTGTAGTGGCACTATGGCTTGCAAAAAATGCACGCCCACCAATACCATCGCCGTCTGCTTGCCGTAAAACGCTGCCTTATTCCCGAGAGAACGAGAAGTATCCAAAGTGCGTGCGAGATCTACTGATTTAAGGTTGAGCCAATAAATAAAGCATCCCGTCACCATAAATATCTACGTAGAAAAAGATATCTGCATCTAAATCAATTATCTCTGCCATTTTGCGGTAATTTTATAACCCATCGCCCATTAAACCAGTCGGATCAGTATAGCGTAAAACGCCAGTATGACGGATTATTTCAACATGTCGTTGCCAGCAAAGAATAACTCCTCTATAATAATAGACAACCAAAGTTCGACATCTATGGATGATGCAGCTTATAAAGCATGGTCAGACGCCGCCGTGTATGTGCCTATTTTATTCCTAAACGGGACATTATTGGTGACATTTTTAACAAATCAACACTTGATCAACGGTTTTGTCGTATATGTTATCAATCTCACGATCAGTAACCTGTTTTGCTGGTGTATTTGCGTTCTTCCGTTGGAAGCCACGTGGTTCTTTACAAAAACCTGGTGGATGGGAAATTCGGCATGTGACCTTTATCTGTACGGTATTTGGTTGCTGCCGGGTGTGACGACATACTCCCATGTCTGCATTTCTTTAAATCGATTGTGGGCGATCAGTTCACCGTTAACCTATCGAACATATCACTCTCAAAACTTTGCCATCTGCACCTGTATCGTATTATGGCTGACAATGCACGCGCTCTGTTTACCGCCTCTTATCCGGGATTCCTTGGTCTTTCGGACCGACCGCAAAACGTCGTGCGAACTGAACGTTGATGCGCAAAAAGCGTGGTCTGCTGTTTACATGCCATTGATTTTCTACGTTCCCAACGCGATTGTATTGTTATCATTCCCGTGCACAGTCGGCATTAGTGCCTGGCGCAACCACAACCGGCACCCGGCCATCGACAACAAGTCCAGTAGCCTGCACGCGCATGCTGTACATGCTGTAGTTGGGCGCAAATATCAGTCACGTGCCTTATTAGCACTAACGGCGATGACCACCAGTCTGCTGGTGTTGTGGACACCCAATCATGTTGTGCAAGTGTTGCGACATCTTTCGAATTTTGTGGCCCCGCCCTGGCTCATTCGCATGACATGGCTGGCGTATTCTCTGCAGGCAATCATGGATCCGCTTTTGTTTGCTGTTTGTTTGCATGATGTACGGAAGACCTATCTGCTAATCATACGGAAATGCGTCAAGAGCAAGCAATATGCAGGGCGTCACTGAAGCTGACAAAGGGCCCTTTTCTCCCCAACTCACAAGATTTGTTTACTGAATGAAAAGGCGGTTTCGACTACTCCAGTTGCGCATGTTACGGTTATTCGGTTGATAGCTACATAATTTAATAAGATGTTTTCGTATTACCGTTCATAACCCATGCATGTACGGTCATGTAACATATTCTATCAAGTACTGTGCACTTATTTAACTAATTTTGCTAGCGCGACTGACTGTCGCTGTCTTGGCTACGATGTCAGACGAAGAACAATAAAGAAACCGAACAACTGCTATCTTTGTCGAGCAGAAATCTTTTCTACAGGAGGCGAAGAACTGCCATTATCGAAATCTCGGATTTATGAACAGCGAAACTCAGCATTATTAGAACACCTCAGCTGTATAATACATTCGGGCTTCCATTTTACTTTAACAAAACCGGCCACTGAGTAAACCATTATGTGGCGCCATTGACCGGTAATGGACGAGTAAGTACGCTGCATGTATCAATGAACCCGAACATTACGTTATCGTAAGAACCATTAAAAACTGAGGCACCTTCGCCCTAAAATACATCCGCAATAGACCGCGTCTCTTTAATTCCCATCATACTATCATTACTATGTACAGATACATTCGGGATGCCTACGGCCCTTAATGGTAAAGATGTAAACATATCCTTTGACTGCTTTTAATCAAGCTGAGGTGAATACACGCCATAAAATGTCCAAAGGAGCTACGCTGTTCGTGAATCCGGGTTACTGATCAAAATAATCAAATGTTTTGCACGATTGCGTGCAACATATACATGCTGTAAATACAAACATAAAAAATAAACAAAATATTCAACAAGATGAATAGAAGTATTCCTGGTGCAATGTTTGTGAACATGTCGCAAACAAATGCATCTTCCAAGCTGACTAGCAACAGCTCCGTATTTGCGACATTTTGCTGGATTGTAGCTTTTTTCTACATCGTGTTTTTCATATCTACTCTGACTCTAATCATTGTGATGGTCAGGCATCGCGATCACCTGACTGGCTCCCGAATTCTGATTTTGCACCAGCTGATCATGGAATGCCAGATCACGTTGCTATACTGGCCAGTTGACTATGTCTTACTGCCGCTACTCCATCCTCATTTCGTCACAGTGACCAACACATTCTGCCGCCATTTCCACTTCGGCTTTCTGCTGACGCTTACCGCTACGTGGTGCGGCTTGGCGATCTTGGCACTGAACCGGTTTATTGCGGTTATCCAACCGTTTAAATATCGCAGTTGGATAAGCAAACCGATGATTATGGGACAGATCGTCCTTCCATGGATTATCGGCATTGCTACAACCATCAAGTTCTACTTGACCGATGGCGGACTTACGTTCAACGAGCGCAGTCGAATCTGTGTGGTACAGACAGGAAGAGATTTTTTGATCAGCTCCATATTCGGCGTGTATTTGCCGCTAGCTTTAACTTGCGTTTTTTATATTGGATTATTCGGTGGTCTCCTGGTTAATAAACACCGGCATAAAGTCATGCTAAGCCGGGCATCAGGGTCGGCGAGTGATCGTTCCGATCCGACTGGATCCGGGTCCATTGTTGTGGAGAATATGGGGCAGAGTGGACGACGAATACAGCTGGCTAAAGGTCTATGTGCTATGTCGGTTGCACATTTGGTGGGATTTGCTTCCAGTCCGATCTTTCTGGCTGTAGTTCCCGATGCACAAGCTCGCTATCCTATCACACGACAGTGGATATTGTTTGTATTTTATCTAGGATATGTTCCTACTCCGGTAAGTTTGTGTATTGAAGCATGAGCACATGAAAACAACTGTCTGTGCTACTGTGTATATTGTGAAGTGTCTGGTGACTGATTTGATTAAAATTATAGAACTACCTTTGTAGATTATTATCGGACTGACGAACAGGCATGTTCAAGCAACGGGAAAGAGGATATGCGCAAAGTTTTTCCGGGATGGCGTCTGAACGTTATCCGCTAGAACTTTTTATATATAGATACTAGAATAATACCGGTATTAGCGCAGTTCTGCATCGTTAAAGATTTAATTTACGCTTACCTCGGACTAAAACGAGCAACGCGCTCTTCCTTAGAAGATACAGCAGATTATAAGTGTCCAGTGGCAGTATCTGTAGTTCTCGTACTGGCGTTCATCGTCTTGTTGCATTTCAGGCGAAAGCTTCTATCAGCAGTCTGTAATTTTCGAAATGTGACCTATTTCACTGTCGCTGTCTTATTCTATTTTTTTATATTAGATCATCAGTTTTCTCGTGCCACGTTGCGTGAATGAGCAAAAGGTAAATTGAGGAATCAATATACGGTCGAGAACATATGCATCGGGACATCAGCGAACAATTTTATCCTGAATCGCGCTGGATGCACATGCATACTGCATTTTCACATGTACAATGATCGCCGTGAGCCGAAAAAAGCTGATGGTAGCAAAATTTTGCAGTTTGTTTTAGGATACCCTCTAGGTTAGAATATATATATAGCAGGTTAGTATGTATTCCCACGAGAAATATATCTAACCTGCTGCTACCGGCTGTAGCGAATGAACTACAGTACTACTTTTTCATACTCGGTAACACCCAGTTGCGTATCTTGTCTTCCCAGATCGTAGCGTTGTTAACTGTCTTCCCCGGTTCCCATTATCGCAGCGTAGCAAACTCTAAAGTCACATACTACGTGATGTGGATTGCGGGCGTGTGGTATCTACTTGCTTATCCGGCAAGCTAAAGTTCAAACCATATTCTACCGTATTATTTCAAAAGTCATTTTGCATCGAAATGCGTATTCTGGCAATAATATAACTGAATGAGCCCGATATTGCTTCGTTACATTAATGCACATCGTTTATTCATACTTCAACGGAAAGTGCAGCATTTCCGATTTGGGATTTGTAAATCAGCCGAAATTGAACGCATGAAACATGAATTAGCAAACAAACACCCTAATGGACTTCGCATATCCTTCGTCTAATTACAGTGCGGCATCTTCCAGTTTGGCGGATTTCCGTGGCGTCGTTAGTACCGTCGCTTTGGTCATTATCATCATTCCCAACGCAATTGTCTTGACCTTCTTTACCATCCGCAGCTGCCGGCGGAACTCCTTTTCTGTCTACGTAATGGCACTGCTAATGCTAAACATTATCGCGACAGTGACATATTATCCCTTTATTTTAATCAGCAGCCTGTCGTATTGGTGGATGGGCTCATCCATGTGTACCTTCTTCCTGTACTCTGCCGACGTACTGGCTTTTGTCATAACCCTGCTTCACATGGCGATGGCTCTCAACCGGATATGGGCGGTGCTAAGCCCCATTCATTATCGGCAGTATCATACCCGAAAGGTCGCCGTGGCGATCATCTTCATTGTCATCATTCTTCCACATTTCAGCGCTTTACCGGTGCTGATAACGGATGCCCTGTACTATCGCTTCCCCGAAGAACGCTACGGTTGCGGTATCAATATCCAGGCGCAACTGGAATGGATGCTGTGTAACCTTCTCCTCTTGGGAGTAGTACCAATCATATTCTTACTACTCTCCTACCCAGTTGTATTATCAGTGCTGATGAGGCACCATCGAACCGGCCCGCAGGTGGAAGCGCGACGAAATTCCCGAACACGGCCACGACGATTTCCTCGCAAGGCGCTGGTGACCCTGACCATTTTGACCGGAAGTGTTATCTGCTTTTGGTTGCCTTCGGTGGCTGTGGCGTTTTTGGACCTCGCCAATCTGCAGGAATCAGTTGAGTGGCTGGAGTGTTTGGCGATGATAACGTATGCGGCGCAGAGCGTGCTGGATCCGTTTCTGTTCGCTGCTGTATTGTCGGATGTCGCCGAGCAGATGAAGGCTTTGATCTGCATATGCACCAGAAAGTTGGTCAGTGGAATTGCAACTGCTTAGCACGTTAGCAGTCGGCAATATTTGAGCGAATACATAGTCTGACGTGATACTGCAAATTGCTAACAGCGAAACATACCAGTTTTTATTTACGGATACTTAGTGACCTTTGACAACGTTTTAAAACGAATGAGTGACTGTCGTATATTAAGTTGATTTTGTTATTCGCCTGCTGAGGTGCTTACTGATGTGTACTGCAAACCAAAGTTGTTTACCAAAACAGTAATAGCCATTAGCCAACATGTTTCGTTAATAATACCTGCAATTCCTAACGCGTGCACCCATGGAAGAAGAATACCGCGGTAAATACTGGAGTTTTTCTGGTCAATGGTCACACATCTGCCGGCCGTTGTACGAAAAAATCGAGCCGGCATGTTAGCAAACTTTTCTTGGGAAAGATAAAGACATTCCATCAGACAAAGACATTTTATCACTGACAAAAAAATCAGTTTGTATGACGGTTTTACTTGCAAACATTCGAAATTATAGGATCAGATACTCTTGGTACTTACAACAATAAACAACGAAAAAACTTTAAAGGTGTTCGGTTCTTTACACGACATGCCGCCTCGTATTACGTATATCTCCAGTGATACGCCAGCGCACACCTCGTTTCCATAATTATGTTTACCAGAAACGATATGAGAGTATCTGTAGCAATTTAGCAACGCATTATTTTGCATCCGCCACGGAATCCGAAGCAGGGGTAAAGCGACTGTTAATCGACAATGCTCGTATACAATTTATTTCTTCAGACATACAAAAATGATAGAACGACAAGAATAAAGCGCAAAACACTTGTAAATTTTACCAGAAAACATCTGGATCAAGTATTTTAACCCAAATTTAAAACATCTGGATCAAGTATTTTAACCCAAATTTAACGCACCAGCCAGCCAGACAAAATGTTTCTATTGCGCACAAAATTCTAGCGGTAACCAGCCACTGCAGAAAAGCGTTCGTAAATTAGAACACATAATAATGATACACGGAAATGGAATGAGAACTCTCAAAACAGCTATGAGTTCATCATTAAATCGATGAGATCTGTGCACCATACCATGATATTTACCAGGAGGGCATCCCCGGGCAGGAACCGGTCTACGAACAGTTTCAACTGTTTATCTTATTAATACATCTCGACATCGGAATCCCGGTCAGCCACCTGCTGGTCCAGCTGGATAATCGTCTTCCGAATGGTCTTCACGTAATGCCGCATGTGTTCGGGGCGGAGCGCTTTCAGCATGGCAGTGATGTACTGGCCTAAAGAAAAGTGTATACTATATGGGGCATGACACTGATGACAGTAATGGAAAGTACTGGATTTAAATCTATTTGCTTTGTTTAGACACATGTGTGCGAACGGAGACTAGCAATAAAACGTAAATACACGACCAAAACGAATATCTATATCACTTTAACGAACCCGATCTCAATGTCCGGATTCCGAAAGTCAACCATTGCAAACTGTGACCTGTCGTATTTGAGAACCAAAAATAATATCATTACCTATTAAGCAGTCAATCAGCACCTAATTACCAAATGTTTCTGCGGCATCAGTCCCAACGGTTACCGCGACAGCTATGTTGTTACCCTTCGGAGCAGGAAGTGGCACGGCATCAGCAAGACATGAAGGATCAGGGACAGGAGTTGCGGCCAGTCGTGGCAGTCGAGGAATAGGCGGTAATGGTGGATCTGTCAATGAGGATCGATGATCTGGTGCACTCTTGGTCGTTCTCTTTGCATTTCTCTGCACGCTTTCGGCGCCCACATCCCGTTTAATGTCACCGCTGAATCCACTCGTAGCCCTCACCTTTGCAGATCCCGCTACACTTTGTTGAGTGTCACCTACAGATACAGCAAAACAGCTGCCAGCCTGCCAGAAGACGGGGAGCAATGACGAACAATCTACGTATAGAAACCTAAAAACGTCTTCAAGATTTTTTACACTAAGCTCACAGTCTGAAACTTGGAATCTTGGTAGTGCCAAATTACCAACAATTTCAAACCGATCTCTGCTCATAAATGATAAGCTACATGATTAGAAACCATATATAGCATTCTTTTGTGAAAGACTAACTCTAACTGCCATTTACTAAAACGTTTTTCTGAGAAATTGACACTGGATTCTGACCGACCGCAATTCAACTCATCATGTAGCCCAGCCCAGTAAACTGATGGTGAATGCCAGGCCCGAAAGACGAATCTACCGTAAGTTTTTGTTTTTAAAGGATAGGGGGAGGCAGTGCACTTGCACCTCCCCCAAGAGTATTAAGTCGAATTTGCAGCCATCTCCATTTTCGCAATACAGCGAATTCTTTCGACCTGAAAGCTATGGAGGACATGGTCCCTCAAGCCTACCCCTAAATACGCCCTGTGCCCTTCAACTACAACACGAATCCAGCCACGAACCGGGCACAGATTTGCTGCTGTGCGCCACCACCGGCGGAAACAGTCGCAGCGGAAACTCCATCTGTGGACTACCCGAACTCTGCATGGTCTGGCCTGTCAAATCAGACCGCTTCGGGGGCGCCTTCGTTCGGTAAGCAGACGCCTTCGGGGACTTCTTTTTCGGCAACGACACCATCTTCACCACGGAGCTTTTTGGCGGGAACTTCTCCGCATGCGCGGCTGGCTCCTGCTGCTCACTGCGTACCACGGGTTCGTGCGTGTGGTGCGAGTGCAGTGTGGCCACCACTTCATCCATATCCAGCGTGGCGCAACATTTAGGACGCATACGGCAACGCCAACGATTGTCATGACGCCATTCGTAGGTCCGCACATATTCATACCCTCCCAAAATCAACAGGTCGCCACCATTCCGCGTTTTCGAATACACGGGAACGGCCATATTGCTGCGTTTCAGCTAAATCAAGTAATAACTGATAGCAAATGATGCTACCACTGTACTGGAGTCTGGAGAAAAACGATGAGGCGGTCCAAGGAATCACAAAGTCGGGAACTTTTGCTAGCGAGTGAGATTTCTGTGAGATTCGTCCAGCAAAAAGCGGGGCCTGTGAGACTGACTCAGTCACTCACTAACGTAACACGGGTGACCGTCCACCATGGAGGTTGCTGTCTGTACTGCAACCTCCACGGTTGACGGTTCGCGCAAGTTTCATTGGCAACCATCCAATGACGACGGTTACATCAACCAATAGTGGGCTTTGTTACGGCCCGCGCTCAACTTGTCACATAAAGGAGCGCCAGCCCACGGCTTTCGGCTGGAACGCGGCATGTGTCCCGCGTACTGAACGTTATCGTGACACGGTGACTCTGACAGTGACGTAGTACCCCTTCCTTCATCAGCAACCTGTCACATTGGTGGATGGGCACTCTCTTGGATACATTGCCCCTGAATTCTGCTGACGTGCTGGCGTTTGTCATCACCCCGCTTCACACTGCGCCCGAATATGGGCGGGTGCTAACTGCTAACACACACTGGTTACCGACAGCATCTACCCGAAAGGTCGCCATGGAAACCCTCGTTACCTTTATCCTTCTACTTTGCAGCGCTTTACCGGTGCCGATATCGAATGTATTGTAGCAGCGTAAAGTAAGACTATTGATTGCAGCACCGGGAGCGGTGGAAGTGCTGTAAGAATACTTACAGACTACAGCAGCGGTGGAGGTAGGAATATGGATTAGCTCGAGTACAGTAGCCTGCAGTCGTCAAAACAACATTTGTACCATTATTTGGTGTACTTTGTTCGTTATGCCAGATCCGACGATGCTTCTTGCACTTGGGACTTGTCTCCGACTTTTGATACTCAAACATGAACCGGTCGTGCATAATTTCCGGAATCGTTTGCCATCATAAATATGGCGAACTTTATTGCTGGGCTCCATTTAAACAGTGATCAAAAACAATCGATGAGATGTCATGATAATGCTGCTTCAAAATGCTTGGTTAATGCAGATAACTTACAACATCATATGCCAGGTTGCAGAGAGTGAGCATGAGTTGGGACAAAACTTAACATATGTCTGGTAATAGAAAGCAATCTGAACACTACGAATACGGAACCGAATACGAACACGGATTGAAATCGTGTTCGTAAGCGCATCCGAGGTCTGACGATGCATTCGGACCGAACCAGATGACGAAACGGTTGATAGTTGATATTTCGGCCATTTACACTTCGGTTACGCTCATTTCGGCCATCACTCACATTCGGCCGCATTACATTTAGGCTGAGTGTTAATTTATTAATAATTGAAAAATTTGCAGACTACAGCCAAGTAAGAAGATTACACGAATGCGTCGATGCATTGTTGCCAACTTTTATCTGTTTATAGAAAATTTCATTAATACTTGCTTTTATTAAGAAATAAGCCAACAAATTCAGCTAATATCTATAAACTAAGCGTTATGATTCCGCAATGACGCACAACTATAATGTGTATGACATGAGTTTTGTGTCTACTTGATAACAGATCACTGGATACTCAGAAAAAGAAGCTAACTATTTTGTTGTAACAGAACACAAATTACCCCACGTTCACTTGCAACTTCAGTTCATCATCAGCCTCTCATAATTCAAAAAATTCTCGTCACAGAAGAAAACCAAAACGTATAATTTAAATTCTAAAAAACCAAAGATTCCTAAAAAACCTAGAAAAAACTGACAAAAGCAATGTTTCTCTTTTAAAAAAAGTCAAAAACATTAAGTAACAACTTGACACAAGATTAAAGCCGAAATATCATGCAGCCAAAACAACGGTGGCCGAATAAAATGCGGACCGAAGTGAGCATGACGAACTGTATGGTGCCGAAGTGAAAACATGCGGCCGAAAAGTAGCGCGGCCGAAGTGGTCAAGCAAAACCTGCTTCAGACCGGAAACGCTCAACCGCCCAAATCGGCGACTGCAAGCTAACTAGCTGCACTCGATCCAACTGCTTTTGGAATTTTCCTATTGGTCGGTAGAGCTCGATGCGTATGCCTGTACGACTCGTACAAGTTTAATTTTTTAACGTAATTTCAATTGCGATACCCCATGTCAATCAAAATTTTGTTTTTAAATTGTGAAAAGGATTTTCAAAAACTTCTTAGATTCATAAAAAAGAGGAATGTTTTTTCTACTTAAAATCCAAAGCAAACGGATTTCCATCAACACAGGCAGAATCGACAGCTATCCGGAGCCATGTTACGATTCAAAGCTTAAATTTCGTGCTTTACGAAAGGTTTACGAAACGAATAGGGTTATGACGTCTACAAAAGAGGCGGGGATTCGTATTCGGAACCGTATTCGTAGTGTTCAGATTGCTTTCTAATATCGTATGTGCATACGAAATGCCAAATGGCACATTGGCCGTATGGGGTTGCATACGCATACGGCCAACGTACTTTGTTGCACGTACAGTACTCTGTACTTATTTCAGAGCAATAAAATTTTTCACGCATTCTACAAATATCGTGGAAACTGAAAACACAAGCGAGTTACACAGCAACAGCTACAAACACAGGCGGGCAAATAGCAGAGAAGATTTCGTCTAAATCCGCCGCCGGTGGTACTGTTCCCATTATACGAGTAGATGCTGCGTTTCATCGCTGAATTTCTATGCTGATCCTAAACGTACTTTGTATTTTACAAAACTAATCAAAGCCGGTGTAAATTATGAGAGACATCAAAGCGTGGAATGAAGAGTGAAGGTTGACCTACTTTATAGCTTTGGTTCACTGCTAATCAAGACACCGTCAACAATTTAGCGTGTTAAATAGCGTTTCATCATCTACTGCAATTGACAATTCTAAACTTTTGCAGACTTAGTAATTATAGGTCGAGTAAATACAAAGCGGTGCACTATACGGTGTTGTGCGTGCTAGGTCAGTTTGGTTTTGCGGCCGTATTGTCGGATATCCGCGAGCCGATGAAGACTTTCATCTGAATATGCACAAGAAAGATAGCCAGTAGTACTCCGCATTTTAAACCGAACGAGTGCTTGACGTATCTGTAGGTTAACTTGCTTGGATAATTGCAGCTAGAACTAGGTTTGCAACTGATAATCGCACCACATTTGACCGGTCGTGAGAATAGCCATTTCTTTATTTATTACTTGCCTTTATGGTTTTGTTTCTTTATTACGTATCATTATGGTTCTGCATGTCGAGAAGGTTGGGGGTTCCTCGTCAGATGATTAAGGAAGCACAATGGGTACTCGTTTTAATGACCTCCCTCCTCGTATCATTTTTCAGTGTTATGCCTGAATATTCAGCCACTATTATGAAAGTGCTTTTCTTTGCGACAGTCACAGCACAAACCCCGTTGACATGATTAAAAATAAGACTTGACAGTAGCAGTGTAATTGCGTCCGGCACGAAATGCTCAAGCAAAGCCTAATTAAGTAAGCACAAGTGCACAACGCAGAAGCTGGTGTTGAATGTTGATGTAAAATATGCTATTAACGCTTGTCGAGCTCGCTCGCGAACGCCGCCTGTTGGCGCTTGAGGATGCCGGGGCAACTGATCAGGCCCGGCAATGTCCAGACGACGCACTGATAATAGTACACACTCTGTAGTTTTTCCGAAAACTATGAATACGGTATGAGTACGAAAAAAGAATGTAATGATGGCCGCGTCCGTCGCGATCGCTTCGACCACGTTATATGTCGGCCGCAATTGCAAACGATCACTTCGGCCAACATTCGTTGCGGCTGATGCTCACTCCGGCCAGCATTGAGGTTTAGGTCTGTTAGGTTTCTTCGTTTACTTAGGTGCAGGGTTCTTAGATTTGTCTGGTATTATGTTTGGTTTGTTAGGTTGGTCAAAATCTTGGAGGTCAGTGTTTGTTGGGCGGAGGCGGACTTTTAGCTTATTGTTTAAAGTACTGTGAGGAGAGAAGCGGCTCATCTACAGCGACAACAAAGTCTTTCACGGATTTTCAACACTTTGCGCCGTGGTAGTGGTCCTGCCTACGCGGATCTTACGACGTAGCCGGGGTTCGATTCCCCTATCGGCGCATTTTTCGGCCGTTTCTCGGTTCCCTCGGATGGCGCCCTGCTAAGAGGGTGTCCATTCATTTCGGAAACCATTCATTTCGGAAACCATTCATTTCGGAAACCATTCATTTCGGAAACCAAACGTTATCACTTGTAACTGCAATACTATTATAACAGTAGTTTAATATTATTATAACTGGTACCAGCGGCGTAGGGAGGTTTCGATTTTGGGGGGGGGGCCTTAAGTACTGGCTTTGGGGGGGGCCGTCCATAGGCTCTATGTTAAAAATTTTCCTTCCGTGGCCCCATACCTCCCTACGCCACTGACTGGTACTATTGTGTTTAATAGCCAGTGTGCAGTTTGTGTACTTTGTATCTGTACAATTAAACGGGTTCCCGAAATAACAGTAACCCATGTATAAATTCTGTACATTTCAGCGCAACATCAACGCCCAACATCAGGGATCTTTTTCATAAACGTTTATGATAAAAGTTTATGAAAAAGATCCCTGAAATGCTTTTTTGTTGACAATTCACAATTGTACTGTATACGCAGTAATTGTTTCTGTTCAGTAATGGCCGAAATAACGTTTTCTGTGACTAACTGTAAAGGAAAAGTGTTCAAATGCATGGTTTCCGAAATAAATGATTTCCGAAATGAGTGGTTTCCGAAATGAATGGTTTCCGAATTGAATGGTTTCCGAAATGATAGGGTGCCGCTAAGAGTACGTACGTATGTATCATCATTCTGTAAGCAGAATGGTATTTTTTGAGGCTACGATTTCTAAAAACCTGTTTTATCAGCAATTTAGTCAGTTTCGGTGGGACTGTAATTTATGGCTGAGTTGGACCAAGCGGCAGTTTGTCAGCCAAAATTTAACGAGACCGAAAAAGTTTTCCGAAATGAGAAGTGAAAACTGCCGAAGCGATCGGTACCCAGTGATGGCCATTGCCAGCAGTTACTGTAGGTTCATGATGATATATTTTATCAACTCACCGTCTATGGCCATTTG